GGAGCAATTGGGGTTAAGGGCCACACTCAAGGGTCCAGTGGTGGGATCACTCTGCTGCCTACTGGATCTGAACCAGCAATCTTGTGAGTCCCAAACCACAGAGCTGCCCCCCCCAGCGAATTATTATTTTTTTCTTTTGTTTTATACTTTTTACATCAGTGTGTAATTCCATGTATGTTATTTTATAGTGTTATAAATTACTTTTTATAAATGTACAGTGTCCTTTTGACCAGTACTATATATAAAATTGTAATGATTCTTTTCCCACAAATGAATAAGCGTCAAATGAAGTGAGTGTTAATGCTCAACCAATGCCCATAGAAGTCAAACCAGCCCAGTAACAGGCCTGCTTTCCAAATTATAGGTATTCTTTCATTTCATTCAAAATGAAAGTGTAAGAAACTAGGTTTGGAAATCAAAACCTCCCATGAAACTACCAGGGAAACTTAGGGTTTGGCCCAGATGCAATCCCCTGGCCATGAATGACTGGCCCATTAGCAGCAGTATAGATTACTGCAATAAGATTAAATTTATTTATCCCAGAGGAAATTCTTGATTAGCCTATACATAAAAAACTAAGGAAAACATGGGAGTTGCTGTCGCAAGTTATATATATACATTGGGTAAATTCCATATGAAATACCTCCTTTATGAATATACTATGTCTCTGTACACAATACAGTAGGTTTCAAAATTAGAGAACAACTGAAACCCTGAGACATCAGTTTGTTTGCATGACGGCTGATGGGATTAGCTCCAAGACACAGGAAGTTAGTCGTTCCAAGAGCTTTGTTTCTCAAATATTGAAGCTGTACAAAGAAACTAAGCCATTGAAGTCCCAAAAAAAGGCCAGTAGCCTACGTAAGATGAGCTGGTAAGTGAACAGGACGATAGGGAGACTCTCAGTAAGGGATCAGTTCAACACTACAGCTGGAATTGCTCACCAAATCATTTCTGGGCAGGACAAGAATTTGTCTTGACAGGGTCTCGTCACCTGGGACAATATGGACTGAAAGCCCACTCTGCAGTGACCAAGCCACTCATCAGCAATAAAGAATGGCTAGACTACCCCTTTGTTGTGGAGCATGTTGTGTGGGCAGAGGAGAACTGGTCTAAAGTTTATTTCAGTGATGAAAGCAAATTTGTTCAAATGGGAAACATTATGTGCAGCATTGAATTGGGGAAAGACTCTACCAAAAGTGTGTGAAGTCAGTAACGTTGGGAGGGGTGAGTGTCATGGGGTGGGGTATGATCTCTGCTGCAGGAGTCAGGCCTCTTATACGGCTACATGGTAAGGTGAATGCTAATCAGTATCAAAACCTTCTTCAGCAACATGCGATTCCTTCCCTATGAGCATCATCCAATCACCCAGCCATTTTTATACAAGATAATGCCCCTTACCACACTGCAAAATAAGTAAAGTGATTCCTCAAGGCAGAAACTGTCATGGCCAGCCCAGAGTCCTGATTTGAACCCTATCAAAAGTCTTTGGAAGATAATTGGCAACAAATTTATGGCAAGCAAATAAACTACAGTTACCAAATTGTGCATCTGGAGGACAAGTGGAACTAAATCAAACAAGGGCCTCTATGCTTCCTATTAATTTCTAAATGTTATAACCATATGACAAAAACAACTATATGACAAAACTTATTTATGGGCTTCTTCTGCTATAAAATTGTAACCATTCTCTAATTTTGATTACAGACTTTATTTCCTGTTTAAGCCATTTATTTTGTGATGTGGGATAGATTTCACTATGAAATATAATATGAAAAATAATTTAATTATATGAAATATAATTTAAAATACATGTATTCTGTTAACTTTAGAATAACTTTGAATTTAGTTGAGCAATATTCTAAATTGCAAAAATGTCACTAATTTTGATTACTACTGTACAGTATATACAAAATTTTGAGTGGTTCTCAGTAAAAAAAAATATATTAATAATAAAGTAATGGTGAAAACCTGAAGAAAGTCCAGTAATTGGATGAGCAAAAATACTGTCATCTTGACTGAAACTGGAACTCTCAAAACAAATCAGTATTGCACAGCAAGCAAACAAAAAGTCATGGGACACTGAAGAGCGAGCCGGTGGTGCAGGATACGGGATATTCTTCAGGACCTCTGGGAAAGTTGCTTCAGTCTCCATAGCATCCTGATATAATTCCTGAAAGTGGAGTGCATCAGAAATGCGGATGCTATAAGCTGCCATCGATTTGCTTGTCTGAATGCAGCCACTTAAGCATTTTACCGTTCGCAACAGCGATGACTTTTAAAGGCCCTGTCATCATGATACAGTCAGTTCCTGGGGCCTTGACTTTGAACCCTTTGAGCTAAGCAGATCAGATGATAAATCAATGACTTTCGTCCGCATGGGAGATTGAAGCTGCCCAATTATCATTATCGATACTGTCGAAATATGGATTTTACCATGGAATGCAGTGTTAGATGCCTACAAGATATTGCTATGGTTGCAGCATCCTGGTTAGCCACATTAAACTGCCAAGAGTACACTTACTTCCAATGGTGTATGAAAGAGTTTGATATTCAGGGGACACAACTAAAAAATTACAATATAAAGGACTATTTATTGGGGGGGGTGAGGTGAATGAAGCCAAATTAAATATTTGGAGGGACACGTCCACCCCGTCCTGCCCGGTCCCTACGCCCTTTAATTGCTTACTTCAAATCAAAGTAGACGCCAGTATGTAAAATTCTTTGTCAGGCTATGTTTTGTGAGGACTTTCTTTCAAAAGGATTGGTTTTCTATTTGATGTGTAGTGAGATATTGACAATATTATTCAGTTGTATTTTCTATATAGACCATGACTTTATCACATTAGTATTTACTTTGTTAGGTGTTATAAGTACATAAGTAAGCCAATTGTAGTTTTCGCTACTAAGAAAATCAGACGTTTTCTTTAAACTGTTTAATAATAGGCTAGCTGTTGTTTTCACTGTACGTAACTTCTGAATTTGCATTATATTCTATACAAGTGGTACACTAATTACATAAAAATACGTATTTTATATTAATTTATTCTGTTTTATTTATATGAACAAACATTCATAATGATGCGAGTAATTTCAAGTTTAGAAAGTATTATTTATAAAATTAATAAATTAGGCTAGTAATTAAGAAAAACCTATTTCAATTGTGTCATCCCATCCAATTTAATCCCAAATTCGCCTCGCATATGCGAAAACATTCCAATGTACCCGAATTCATACTTGTGCAAATGGGAAATAAAGAATGAATGACAAATAAAATGTGTATTGTCTATACACATAATTTTTCAAATATCTAATTTATTTAAGTCATCTCACCCAAAAGACGTTATATTGCGTTGTTACGCCTATTTAATAATTAAATCCATTTAATTAGTATTTCACTTATTTCTTCGCCAGCATGTGTGACTCAGTCGGTGACTAAGATCTTCCTACTTCGAGACATTAACCAAGTCATGATGTTATTCTCATACGTAAATGACACATAGGAATATCTGAATGAAAAATAAGTACTTTGCTGAATAGATTCTTGCGTTTGAATGCTGTTTTCATTTTATTCGCCCGTTTGTTGTTGACCGAGCAATAAAACCTGTACTGTCCCGCCTGTCGAATGAGGCGGGGCTTATTCTTTCTAATGCCAGGGTAAAGACTGAGGGAACTGTGGCGGAATATATCCAACAATCCGACCGCCGTAAGTGTCTGTGAGTATCTCCTACGAGCGTTAAGAATCCGCTTTTCATTATGTTTCTCCGAACCGACGAGGTGCTCGTGTTACGTGCCGCTGTACTTCCCGTCCTTGTAGGGGTCGTAGTTGAAAGTGCGTGTTACTCCGCGTAGGCCTTTGTTGTCTTATTTTCGCACGTTATTATTATGCTTTTTGTTAGGCCTGCTTACTGAGAATTTAGTAGCATACAGACCAACTAACATTACTGCGCGTCCCCATCTCTGCCAGGACTATGGGAGGATAGACATTTGTTATTCTTGTCATATAACTTTGCACTGTAGTAGTACTGCGAAACTAAAGTTTGAAATGGCACTAAACCACCTAATTGCTGGCGTGGCAGCGCTGGATGTCTGTTCCTCCTGGTGTGACCGTTATTATTCATGCGAGACTGCGGTAAATGAGTGTTTGCCGGATATATTTATTTATATATAAAAGTGTGTGTGTGTGTGTGTGTGTGTGTGTGTGTGTGTATATATAATGAATTACTCCCATCAGGAAGCTTGCGCTGTATGTAATGTGAACAGGTTCCAAACTGGTTTAGCTTTGTTTACGATACCCTTGAAATGCAGCTTGCTGCGAGCAGTAATTTGAGTATCGCGAGACTTCCGGATAATTTTTAAAAGGTACATTAGTGTAGATATCAATTATGTCTTGCTGTTCAGAGTAAGGATTAACTCTTTTTTTTCTGTAACACTGCTAAGAAATGTCATTACCAGGGGTCAACACAGTCGCAAAGTCTGAAGGACATTTTGCTCAAAATGGAACGTTATTTTATTATTATTATTAACTGCAGACGTGATATTTAAAAACGTAGCCTGTACATTCATTATGGTAGTAAATATATTCAGTACCAGGGATGTTGTTAGACCTATTTGGATAGAAAGTCACCTGTCATGATAACTAATTATAAAGGATATAGCATGTTTTTTCCTTTCATTGTTCATTCAGTTTATTGAGTTAATACAAAAAAATTACAATCTTTTTTGCCATTTGTGAATTTGTAGTTCGCAAGGATTACTTTTCAAGTTGAACTCTTTTGTCTGTATGTTAGTTATTGTATCTTAGTAACGACTTTCTTTTAACAGGGAACAAGTTTTACTGATAAGATTATGTGTGACATATTGACTAAAGGTTGAATGGCAATAGCTCTCAGACCAAAAAGGATTTTCTCCTCCCATTTCATTTATAATCTTAATGTTTAATCTCCATGACCATAAGCTCCTGAATAAAGCCCCATTGTGCATTCTTGGTTTACCACCCTACCTTTTATGATCCTCCTTCCAGTTTCTCTTACCATTCCTCCCAGCAACAGTGTTTACAACTTGTCAAACCAGGCATATTTGTGTTCAAGAAACTACAGGTGCAGAGTAGGCAATAACCCAGGACAAGGCACCAACGATTGATTGGGAGAGGGCTGCGCACACACAACCAACCCATTGTTGGGCACACACACACACACACACGGTTTGGTAACTCCAGTTCACCTTTGAATGGATTTTGACTGTGGGGGGGGGAAACCAAAGTACCTAGAGCAGGGGTGGCCAATCTTATCCGCAAAGGGCCAGTGTGTATGCGGGTTTTTGCTGCAACTCCCTAATTAGATTACTAATTAGAGGACTGATTGACTGAAGAGTCCCCACACCAGGGTTTGAACAGCTGGCCTACAGGTTATCCCAAAAACCTGCATACACACCGGCCCTTTGTGAATAAGATTGGCCACCCCTGACCTAGAGGAAACCCCATGAGAACACGAGGAGAATCTGGAAACTCCAAACACGTTGAGCCAGGGTCAAGAAATCCAGTCCCGATGGTGTGTAACTAGAAATAAGTCTTGTCATTAAAATTACAAATTGAACTTGTGGTTTAATCTTGGAGATTTTCAGGAAATCCCTTTTTGTCTCCTTAGTGTGTTGTAATTTGATCCCATTTCTATTTTAATTTTAAAAGTGAAAACCCAAGTGACGGTTAAGCGCATTGGAGTGGGAGAAGGGCATCAGATCCTCATTTTGGTCAGTATGTGGGTATATGTATTTCCCTTGAACATGAAAGCGTTATCGAAAGGGAAATGTGCTGTAGGCTAAGTTGTTTCCATGATGGTCTTACTACTGGTAGTGTTGGTCATGAACTATGATCAATAAAGATGTTCCCGCTTTCTGTTTCCACATTTGTGTAAGAGTTCTGTAAAAGGCAATATAATGTAGATAAGACGCAGTAGAGGTTTTTTCCCTAGTTCAACTTACTGTTAATCAAATTTCCTGTTATTACTGTTGATAATGTTTGTGTTTAAAATTTTCCCTATGTCCGTGTAGCTTACAACCTATATAAAGTCAATTAAGGCCATTAAGAAACTCTAATAAATGTACAATTATTTAAGTTTAAAAATGTATTAAATATAAAATGCTATGTATTTGAACTTTTCAATTTAGAGGGCACTAAAACCAAGTATCAACATTTACTTTGGTATTAAAATCGACACCAATTACACAAAAAATGTAATGCTTCAAATATTAAATTCCACACTTCACTGTAGACAGCTACAACTCACTGCAGAGTTTTCAGGAGCGTGTAGCCATGTGTATTTATAGATACTCAACTATGTCACAGAACCCACAACTAAAAATAACATTCTCTTTAGATCATATAGGCTTTTATTGAGCATAGGCATGAATATTTTGAACATTGCATTACTGATTTGGCTCTAATCAGTAAATTATTCTGTGGTACTTTTTTTGCTGTTTATGAATAGGTTTACAGGTATTGGTTTAAATGCAGTGACTCTTTAAAGCTTGTTAGACTTGAGCATTTTTGATCAGTGTGGCCGGACTGTAATGAAACCCTCCTGCATTAGGACTGCTTCTCAGTTCATGGAGTTATTAAACATAGAACATCCATGCTTCAGTTTAACAGGATGTTCTCAGTGGTGGGTGTGAACCCAACTGACAAGCTAAACAGGGTTTACATGTTTTCAAAATAGATTGCTAAATTCGTAGAAGAGGTCATTCACTTCAACCGACTTTACTGACATGTTAGTAGCCCTAGATAGTTAGTAGGTCAAATAATTTACATTTTAGAAAATCTCCAGCAATCTGACTGAACAGTTGACCACTAATCAACATGACATCAACTGTAAAAATAAATAAATAAATAATTAGCCATCCATGACTTCGCTTAGCTTAAAGGCGCCCTATTATGTTCATGTTCATTGTTCATAAGTTTAATTTAAGGATCTGTAGACAGATCCTTGCAGGTAGGCGGCCAATAAGGACTGTCTTACGAGGTGACCTCACCATGTCAAGGAAGTAAGGACTGGAATTCCAACAGGACATTTCAGGCAGATTAGAGAAGAGTGCTTCCTGTGACATTTCTGTTGTATTATAAATTTTGCGATTTTGCTCAGATCTTGCGTGTGGATGTGCTTGATGACTGATCATTTCAGGTGCACTGCCGGACCCTGGTGACAGGGAAGTGTATTACAATGACCTTACTGCATATTTATTTGCAGAATCACATCCAAACACCTCAGAAAAAATTCCATTCTTTGCATACCTTTGGCCGATTGTAATTCTCACAGGATGTAAAGTTCAGAGGACAAGTCAAAGATTAAGAAAACAAAAATGTTGCATGACAGACAAAAAACATCTGTGATAGAATAAAATAAGATTGCTAGTTATAAAGGTATTTAACTGGGTCACAGTACTTGCTTAGATGTCTATTAGCCTTTCTTTTTATAGCACTGCATGTGGTTAGGCATGCACGATGCGTGACATGCAGCAACTGCTGTCAGATGTCAGAGCATCATCTCAGTCTGATCTCGGTATGATTGTTAGTCATGTGTTTTATGTCATACTTGGCTCGGGATTTGGAACCTACGTGACTTTTTGTTTTTTATGCAGAAATCATGGGATATTCTGTTCTTTGTGGGGTTGGAATAACCTTGCGTGTTTAAACCTCTTCCTCCTTTCTTCCTCCCACAGGACACCGCATGCTGATGGATGACTATGGCATCTTTGGCTCCCGCTCTGGACATTGCAGCAGCAGGGATGCCGCAACAGATCCTGTCGGTGCCCATGCAGAATAAATACCAATGTCAACATTGCAGCGGCGTCCTAAGGAAGCCAGTCCAGGCCCCTTGTGGGCACAGATTCTGTGCTCACTGTCACAAATTTCTCACCAGGTATCTGGCCAATCCAACGCCACACCTTCCCAGCTCACATGCACACAGTGCTTCATTCTTTCCTTACCTGCTAAAGGTGGCTTCACACATTCTGCTGTTGCCATTGTTTTATCTATTTATTTCCCATCATCCCTTGCTTTACTGCTTGGCATGTGGTTGCTCTCAACAATGGGGACACACCGTTGCTGGTAATGGCATAGTTTGGAGCTACTCTGCTCTCCAGGACCCCAAGTGGAGAAAAGATCCTTCTGCCCTTAAATCTGCAGTGCTTCAAGTCTGTTGCTGAAGATTTGCTGTTTCTTGGCAGTCAGACAATAAAATGCCTGCAAGGATTCAATCCCAAGGCCTTGATAGGGGTAGAGGGGACTGAGAGGAGGATTTAGTCAAAGCACAGAATCTCTGATTTGTTGTTTGTACGATTGAACTATGTCATGATTTGAATTCTGCTTAACCAGCATCCCTTGTAGGAGAAAACTAGCAGGGTGATTTTGCACCAGTTTGCAAAAACAGTTTCCAGGAAGCTGCTGTACTTGCAAGCTCTTAAAACATTAACTCTTTATGGGAAAGGTGGTTTTTGGCTTTGCATGCTAAATTATACAACTTTTTTTATTATCCATGACTCCAGAGTGCTTTTGAATATTCTGGGAATAAACAGAATCTAAATAGGTGCATTCTTGCTAGTCGCAAAAAGTGTATTTTTTCGATCTTTTTTTAAATCCATTTACGGAGCGAGATAAGTTTCTGTATTTCCCAGCTACTAAACATGAAATGAAACGAAAGTCAAATCACACTTAATTTCATTACAGAGTGGTTAATGTTGTAGCAAGTGCCTGCAAAGGTGGTATATTTCCTAAGGCAACTGCAAAGGGCCTTGTAAATATGTACTTGTGTGACAGATGGCTTTTACACTTCCCACACACACGTCTAGCTCCTTTGCACCAGTGATCTGCAGAACACCCCCTTTTTTTCCATTTCTCTCATATGTGGACTTTGACTAATGATATTTTTCTGGCAGTAAGTGGACAGAATGAGTGTTCTTTACGTGGTTGGTTTTTTTGCGAAATGGTGTCTACATACACACGACAGGTGATGAACGGGATTTCCCTGCTGTGGTCTGTTTCAAGTAAAAGGGTAGTGTGGAGTTTGAGGGTGCAATGCTCAGAAGCTGTGGTGAGAACATCACCCATAAAACTTTGTCTGTCTGACTTCAAAATAAACTCTGCAAAATATTTCCGTTCTGTTTCCAAAGAAATGATACCACTGTATACGTTTTCCAGGATGATCTATTTCTTTCTTTCTTTTTTTTTTAAAACGTGGGAACCGGCTCATGCTGGTTAATCTTGAAACAGCCTCTGGTTGAAACTGGGATCAGGAACACGTAGTGACACTTGGGTAAATTCTGGACAAAATGTGGTTGAGGGGATTTGAAGGAGCAGCACGAATTCAGTGAAAATGGGAAGAGAGGCAGCAAAATAAAGGCCAGAAAAAAAAACAACCACAAGCCAATTTATGGAGACCACGGGACGAAAGCAGTCAGCAGGTTCCCACTGACTGTGCATGACTGCTGGGACCCAATGTCATGCGCATGCCATGAGGACTTTAGCCCTTTTAAATCCCTTAATACAGTGTTTCTCAACCCAGTCCTCAGCGAACCCCAGCCAGTCCACGTTTTTGCTCCCTCCCAGCTCCCAGCCAATCAGGAACACCGAATAGCTGGTACAGGGGAGCTGGGAGGGAGCAAAAACGTGGACTGGCTGGGGTTCGCTGAGGACTGGGTTGAGAAACACTGCCTTAATAATTCATATGCGGTCCTATCAGATGCGGAAATCTGACTGGGTGGGCGTCCTCTTCTCCTGTTTCTGATTGGTCATCGGGGTAAAAGCAGGATCTGTATCTCTCCTCCAGCTCGGGACCCAAGCCCTGTGAAGCATGTCAGACGGAGGAGATTTTCGAAGCGGAGATATCTATCCTCAAGAGCAGCAACGTATGTTTCATGCCCATGTTGAGCAGGGTCCTCTGCCCTGGGTGTCTCTGTACAGTACATGCAGTAAAGGAATGGCTTAATTCCAGTTCTGCATTTTTACTTTCCATTCTGTTAATGTTTTCCAAAGCAGAACATGGAATGACACTTTGGGGGAGGGGGGGGGTTCCTATATTCATTCTTCCTGTAACTTCACGTACTTCCTGCCCAGTAGATGAAACAAGCATGCTTCATTTGTTAGTTACATTCAGCCACAAACCAATAGTACCAGTCATTGCCTGCATTTGCTTACTCAGATGGGTCTAGTGGAGACAGATCACCCTCAGTTTGTGTCTCAATCACGTGACTCACCTCGGCATCACATCTGTGTCTGTTTGCGGTTCCCCTGCCAGGCGTTTCCAGACAATGCGGCACGGAGAGAGATTGAAGGTCTGCCCGCCAGCTGTCCCAGCGAAGGCTGTAATTGGAAAGGAATCGTGAAAGATTACGAGGTTTATACATGTTTTTTTTCCTGCCGACCCATGGATCAAATCATTCTTTTTCCCTTTGCTGGTTAGTTTACCTGCCAGTTGTTTTTCTTTTCCTACCCCTGTTGAAGACTAAAGGCCATTGAGACAAAAAGGCTTTTAAAAAGGCTTCTCACATGCCTCATCTCCGCCTGATTTATTTTTTTTAAACTCTTCTCCATACATCAAACGCATGAAGGAAATGGCAATGATTATTTGATTATTTATTATAAAATAAAGCACCGATATAACATAATGGTACAATAGTATACCTTTTATTGATTAGTGTCGGAGGATTTCGCTCGTCACCACATACTGATAACTCTGTTAACTGCTGTTTGCCTGTGAACTAAATGAGGAATTTCTCTGGACGAATGGAATTTAGGGATCACTGGCGTTAAAAGTACAAGGGGAGGGGAGGAGGGGGTGGTAAGCCAAGGTTGGGGGTTCAGTTCCCGCCTCCGGCTCTCTGTGGGCGTGTGGAATTTTTTTGTTCTTTTGGTTTTTTTTTGTGCAGGTTTTTCTGGTCTTCTCGGGTATGTGTGCGTGTCCTGAGACACACTTGGATGCGGATCAGGTTGACGCCAGTTTAAGGCCCCCATGCTTAGCCTCCCGGGTGACTGTGACACTGTATTGTGGTCATGGTAAACGGATGGGTAATCGAGTCAAGGGCAAAGATTAAAATGTCACGTGGACACAGTAATTATGGTAGTTGCTATTACTAGGCACTGAATGTGGCCATTTATGGAGCCTGGAAAGTCCCTTTCGGTTTCTGAATCATAGGTACTTTCCTCTAACAGCTGTGCTTTTCATACTGTTTTGACTTTGTAAGGAAGATATATTACTGCAGTTCATCTCATTTTGTTTCTAACTTGTATAAAAGGTTCCTGAAATCCCTGCTTTAACACAAATATTACAATTCTGAAAGTGTTTTCTATAGACTTCTTAATAGATATAAATTGACCTGGATAAGAATGATGAAAAATAATAATAATTGCCCTTTCTTGACCCCCATTAAAATAGTAGATAAATCACTATAAGTCTCTTTTTAACCCTTAGCAGTACTATTTGAAAGTCAAATGAAATAGCTGGTGAGTATACTTCCAAAGAAATGAGTTTGGTTCTTACATGTCTCAATGCTTTGCATGCTTGTGGTTGCTGTAACAGGATATAAGATTCTCAAACATTTCCTAAGAATTCAAACTAAACTTGATAACATCAAATTACTGATAACACACAGGAATGCCTTTCTGTGTAATGCCATGGTTATGTATGGACCTGACTTATGATAGGCAGGAAGTCTGACTAAGAAATGAGGAATCTCTTTATGGTGAGAGCAAGTTAGTCATTGGTCCCTGATGTGCGTGCGAGTCCTGTGTTTGTCGGCCTGCAGTAGATTAGTACATGACAATAGATATGTTATTTCATGTCAAATGAAACTTAGCACAATGAGCCAAAATATACAATGCATGCAATTATGCAATAGGCAAAATACATACAATTATGCAGTAAGTTATGCATTAGCAGAGGACATGTACTACGAATTAAGCAATAAACAGGATAACCAATAAACATAAGCTCATGAAAATGTAGCTGAATTGGATATATAACAGACAACTGGAGGACTAGGAATCCAAGAGATTGGTGAGTTTTTTTGATGTACGGTTGAAATGTTTATATCAAAGTTAGAAGAGGAAGCTGGGCAAGGCCAGTTTGTTCTTGGTTAGTAGTGAAAAAACAGGGTCCAGTGATCCAGAGTGGGTTGTTCCCGCAGCTGTGGTGAATATAGTGATTGGTTGGCTTTTGCGGCATCCGCTATTGACGTCATGAGAGCTTGCTAGGCACGGTAAGGGGGAGTTTAATTGGGTCCGGTTTTGCCATAGGGCTCATACACTGCAGTAGCATTTTCAAGGAATGAGGCAGTGCAGGGCGGAGTTGTGGGCTCCATGTTCCAGCCATGGTCTTAATGAAGTGGTCCATATGCTGCTGGGGCACCACGGTTTGAACCGGCTTCACGGTTGTGGTTTTGGGAGTCTGCTCTCCGCTCATGGAGTCTGTAGCTGGGCCGGAAGGTGCCACTGGTGGGGCCAGCTGCTCGTTTTGTCAAGTGGGGCGTTGGAGGATGAGCAGTGGCGTGGGCGAAAACGTAACAACAATGGCACATTCTTTTTGGCCCATAGGTGCAGCATGAAGGCAAGTGCAAGTATGAACGCATCCCGTGCAAAGCCTGTCACCTGCCCGTCCTGCGCAGTGAGCTGGAGCGGCACAGCGATAGGGAATGCGAGGAGAGGACCCTCAACTGCAAATACTGTAAAGCCTCCTTCAGTTTCCGGGACATCAAGGTAGGAGCTCGCCGCTCAAAATGACTGTTGAGTCCGATAACCAAGGTGTCTCTGATTTAGTAGTTCCTCTCATACTTACCAAGTACGTTATGCTGGTTTCTCCTTGGTTTGGCTTTCCACTAACCATATCGCACTTCAAACCCGGATATCCTGCAGGCTCATGACGAAGTATGTCAGAAATTCCCCATCCAATGCAAAGACTGCGGAAAGAAGAAGATCCCACGAGAAAAGGTTCTCTTCCTTTACTCTTAAGTTTGATACAATGGGAACGTTGTAGTAAAGCTGCCGGGTTTATGAGAATAGTATGACCCAGAAAAATTACCCATATTTCGAAACTATGATTCCTGCCTGTTTTTCTGAGAACTTATCGAACACCAGCCTGTATTGAGGGTTGAATAGTTTTGCTAACCCTTGTTCCCAATCATTGCTAAAGAACCTGTTTGCTTCTTCTTCTTCTTTAACAAGACAGAACAAAATGTTGTTAGACGAGCTTTTGATTCACCTTGTATTATTTATTTCTGTAAACCTCCCTAGTATTGTTTTGGGTGTTTTGTCTGAAAAAATGTTTATTGAACATCATAAGGCAAAAAAAGCATGAGTACAGTCAGAGTAATATGGTTTATAAAATAAAACCCAAAATCTAAACACCCACCCAACTCTTCACCATTATATAGAGTTCATTCATTCATAATTCTTGTCCCAAACCCTCCCCCCATCCATTATGCACTGTTGCCCCCCTCCCCTAAACAGTACTTGTCCCTTGAAATAAAATAAAGCAAAGGGAGAAATAAATAGCTACAAAAATAAATATACGAAATAAAACGGAAAAAAACTACTGGTGTACAACAGCTGCCCTCCCCAGCTGTAGACCATGAGGGCTGCCTTCAGGAAGTCACCCTGACCTTCGCACGTTGTCCCTCTTCCAGTTTCCTGAGCACAGTCGGTCCTGTGGGAAGTCCAAGGTTTCCTGTCCATTCAGTGTGCTGGGTTGCAGAACAGTGGTAAGTGTGTTGACATATATTTTCGCAATTGTGTGTCAGTTGGTTCCCAGAACTAGTATTTGTTTTTTTTTATCTAACCAAGCTTTTTTGGTTCCTCACTACAACTATAGGTCGTTAGCCAAGGGCGTAACCCATTATTCATACGTTTTCCTGGTCCCGCCTTTACCATCTGGGATTTCTTTTAAGCCAGATGATTACTATAGAAGGTAATAAGAGGATAAGAAAAGAGTAAAATCTTTCTCATGCAGGAGTGGTGAGATTTCCTGGTACAAGAAGTAGTTAATTTAGTGTTTCTCAGCTCCCTCCCAACTGAAAGCAAAAAACATGGACTGTCTGGGGGCCTCCGAGGACCAGTTTGAGAAAAAAAGTTAATTGCAGGTTATTGCATTGAAAGCTTTGGGAGTTGTGAAAAGTCAGTGCTTCTCGTAAGCAGACATGCACTTCTGCAATACTCTGTATTTGCTGTAATACTCTGTTTCTGTAATTCTCTCACACCCTGTCTAATCTGCCCTAAGGGCATATTCAAAGTGCAACCACAGAGGCTTTAGAAATACTGGGGATTTCCATGACGTCGCTTAGCAGATTTTAGACCGGATTGAAACTGTTTTGTTGCTGCTGCTGCAGACACTTATCTGATTAGCATGATAACTCCAGCAGTATTTGATGGTACTTTGTAGACAGGTCTTTGCAAACAATCTTTATGGGTGAAGATCTAATCAAATTTTCTGAAAAATTGCACAAAAAATTGAAGCAGCCCCTCTGGCAACCAATAATGTAATAATTTTCCGTTCTTAATTTAATAAAAGTTGATAATGTAATAACTGGCCAATGACCTGAATTCACTTTATTGTCCATGTACAACTGCATGTACTAGGAATTTGTTTTGGCAATATCGGTGTTTACATTTACAGACAACATAGAAGAACAAAAAACATAAATTAAGAAAAACAGATAAGTAGGGCAGCACGGTGGCACAGTGGTTAGCACTGCTGCCTCACAGCAAAGAAGGTCCTGGGTTCTATGTGGAGTTTGCAAGCTCTCCCCGAGTTCCCGTGGGCTTTCGCCGGTGGCTCCGGTTTCCTCCCTCCGCTCAGAAGCGTGCAGGGTAGGCTGATTGGCGTGTCTAAATTGGCCCTGTGGTGTGTTGGCGCCCGCTCAGGGTTGGTTCCCGTCTGTGCCCGATGCTCCGGGCCCCCCGTGACCCTGGTGGGGATTAAGCGGTTATGATAATGGATGGATGGATGGATAGAAATAATAGAATAAAGGAATAAAAGAGTGCATGTTACAAAATATAAGTATAGTAAGGGGAACAGAGGTAGTGGTGCAATAATGTGATACATTATGGACGTTTTGGTGATGAATTGAGACCTGTTACATTTTTATACAAAATGCACCAAAATTGAAGCAATGCCACTTTGTGACGGCTAAAGGAAGAGCAGCTGCTGGTCAGAGTGTGTAGATGGGCTAGAGATTGTAGCGGTTGGGGGGTGTGGGAGGAGTAGGGATTAGATGGGGGGGGGGGGTGACAGGGCTGTGCGGGGAATACATTGTTGTTCCAGCAGCATTTATTTTGACATTGTACTGTTACCAAATGGAGATAAGATGTCCAGTGGTGGTGCAGTGTGTTCTCATATAGTGTGAGATGTCCAGTGGTGGTGCAGTGTGTTCTCATATAGTGTGAGATGTCCAGTGGTGGTGCAGTGTGTTCTCATATAGTGTGAGATGTCCAGTGGTGGTGCAGTGTGTTCTCATATAGGCAATGCTGCTTTGTAGCTGGACAGTAGATAATATCCATCGTCCACTGGGTAGATATTTTCTTGCAAAGTGCAAGCTTGAGATAAAAGAGCCTCAGCCTGGAAATGGGGCGACAAACATTTGCTTTCAAAGACAAGTTGAGGAGCATGGAGCAGAGGATTTTATCCTGCACTGATGTGTTGCAGGTAGAGAATGAGAAGCAGACGGAGCATGAGCATTCCAGCATCTCGGAGCACTTGCGCCTCCTGCTGGACCGACTCTGCCAGATACAGCAACTGGCAGAGGATCCTGGGGAATGGCAGGAGGACTCGGGACTGGGGCTGTATCGTGCCCCTGAGGAAAAGGAGACGCCTGTGAGTGGAGTGGGCCAGACAACCAGCCTGGAGCAGAAGACGACAGCACTGGAGAACATTGTGTGTGTGCTGAACCGGGAAGTGGAGAGGAGCTCATTCACCTTGGAGGCGTTCTCCCGGCAACACCGGCTAGACCAGGAGAAGATCGAGAACCTCGCAAATAAGGTGCCAGGGATTAGCTGTGACACAGTGCTGGGAGGCGGATGCTCACTCAGTTCCAGAGGTTAACGTGCCCCCCCTCTTCCGATCAGATACGGCAGATGGAGCGTACACTCACTCTGAGGGACATCCAGCTGACCGAGACGGAGCAGAAAGTGCAGGAGCTCGAGTTCTGCACCTATGACGGCGTCTTCGTCTGGAAGATTACGGACTTTGCCCGGCGTCGCCAGGAAGCCTTGGCGGGTAGATCTCCTGCCATGTTCTCTCCAGGTCAGACTCTCCCACACCTGGCTTCCACCTACCTGGTCTTAGAGGCCTCAGTCTAGAAAAGGGGTTGGCATTCCTATCCAAAAATGACCATGGTAAATGCAGGTTTTCACTACAATTCCCTAATTAGATCACTAATTAGAGGATTGATTGGCTGCAGAGTCCTCACACCTGGGTTTGAACAGCTGACCTAAAGTTTATCCCAAAAAACCTGCATACACACCGACCCTTTGCAGATAAGATTGGCCACCCCTGGTATAGAGTCTGCATTGTTAGGGCCGTCCAATAGGGAGGAGATAGGGTGAGACTTCCAAGGATTCAGACCCTTGGCGGGGGGTGTGAGTGTGTAAGCGAGAATAAGGATAGCCTTGGTTTGGAGTGGGTGGGGTGCATTCGGCCCAGCCATGTTTTTTTGCGGCCCTGGCCTTCATTTAAATAGTATGGTACACAGCACAGTTACATCACAATGGTTGGCCCTGACTTGTACCCCTTTTATGTTTCTTATCAGAACCTCTTTAGATGCATTCTGGATCGGCCTGGTTTTCAACAGTTCCTGAAGTGTTTTGTAATGTAGGGCGTCATGCAGTGCAGGGACTTTGTCTGAAAGCAGCTTCCCATTCCTCCCACAGCTTTCTTCTCCAGCAAGTACGGCTATAAGATGTGCCTGCGACTGTACCTGAATGGCGATGGCACAGGTCGCGGGACGCACCTCTCGCTGTTCTTTGTGGTAATGAAGGGGAAGTACGACGCCCTGCTCAAGTGGCCCTTCAGCCAGAAGGTACAATGGCTCCCTCTTTCCTCCTATAAAGGGCCCCTATTATGCTGTTCCAATTTTTCCCTTTTCCTTTAGTGTGTTATATGGCTATATTTGCATGAAAACAGTCTGCAACGTCTTAAGGCCCAAAGTACACGCCAAAGAGAGTAACTCTCTCCGTAGAAACTATTCTTCTGTAATATTCCTGAAACGCCTAGAAATTCCAGCCCATATGTCCATGACATGGTGAAGTCATCTCGTAGCACAATCCTTATTGGCTGCCTTCCTGCGTGGATCTGTCTGCAATCTGCAAGACAGGGCGGAATGTATAGGTCAAGTGGACCAAAAGGGCAAACTTACCAATCAGAGCACACTGGGTTCATCAGGGGTGGGGCTTAAAGCTCAAAGCATTTCAGACAGAGTTATAGAAAACGTGAAGAGAAATGGACAGTATGAGGAATAATAATGTTTTTGAACATTGAAGCATGTAAATGTATTCTAGTAGACCCCAAAAATAAAATAAACAGTGACAATGAGCATAATAGGGCCCGTTTACCCATGCTGACAGTTTCTGGAGTAACAGCTTTGCTCTAAATTCCGAAACATGGCTGCAGCGCTACATAAACAAAGCAGCATCTTTCTTACCTAAGTAGCTCAGGTTTAGTTTTGTAAAGGGAAAGTTTTGTATGTCATTTTATTGAATGAGAGGTGACCCCTGGTAAAAAAAGAAAGCAGACCTATTTTGGAAGTTGACCCAGATTAACTGTGGGTGGCTGATCGTGTTCATCTTGGTTAAATTTTCTTCTCCAGTAGCGTTTCTGACACCGCTTGTCCCTCCCTGGCACCCTACCATCTCTTGACCTAGGTGACACTGATGCTGCTGGATCAGAACAATCGCGAGCACATCATTGACGCCTTCCGGCCCGACGTCAACTCCAGCTCCTTCCAGAGGCCCATTAATGAGATGAACATCGCGAGTGGCTGCCCTCTCTTCTGCCCACTGGCCAAGCTGGCTGGCAAGAGCTCCTACTTGAGAGATGACACCATCTTCATCAAGGCCATCGTGGACCTCACAGGTCTCTAGCAATCCTGGGCTAGGCTGTGTTGCACAGACCTGAGTCTGGTCAGATGAGCAGTGTTTGGCATCTGTGGAAGATGGCCATTTAAAAAAAATATTTAAATAAAAATTATATTAATTATAATTATTATTGGCAGCAATGAGGATTGAAAGGTGACTGTAATCATGTGATAGACTGATTGATTGCCTCATTTGCGCCATGTACTAATAATAATTAAGAATATTAAATATTATAGCAAATTCAGCTATAAGTACATGACATGTACATTAAGTATACTATTAATTACAGTGCTGTCTGCGGTTCACAAACACAATCCATTCCAGGAAAGCGAACCAATTTGTACGCAAACCAAGGCAATTTTTCCCATAAGAAAGAATTGAAATGCGATTAATTTGTTCACAAGCCTACTGGAAGATTTGCACATGCTAAATACACACGAGGATCGGACCGGGTACATACAAGACACACACGCTCGACAATAGGAAAATGCAACCATTAACATTAACAACAACAACAATACAAGGGCTATTTACAGTTGCACGCGGGGCATGCTGGGACATGTGTCCCTCCGGTGCTACGCTAGTAATAAAAAAAAAGGAATCTGGTCCAGGAATCTGTTCGTCGACCAAATTTTGTACGCGAACCAAATTATTCGTAGGCCAATGCATTTGTGAACCGCAGCCGTATTTCAAATTATGAATAAGATCCATCCATCCACTTTACAACCTCTTAGCCTGAGTAAGGTTATGGGGTAAATTAGTTCATCATCACTTAATATACTTATACTTAATAATACATATAGTACTATTAGTTGGATATTATTATTACCAGCCATAATCCAAAGTATATCAGCATTTGCCTTTTGGTAGCAGCTGCTTGTCGCAGGGCTGCCTGAAGGGGGAGACAGAGAGCAAAGATACTGGCCACTGTAGGTACTGCATTAGCGCTTAGAGCTTTTCTGACTTTAAAAAATAAGCTTGATATGTGATAGCATGATATCTAAATTGTTTTAGTCAACTTATCCACCAGTGCTTCATGAATTGGAGGATGACCTCAAGTGACCTATAAAAAAAAATGGGAAACATTAAGTGCAGGTGTGAAGTGCACTGATAGGACAGTTCATATCAGGCTCCTAGAAGCAGGACTGGGGTCCCATTAAGCAAGGAAGAAGCCCTTCATTAATGCGAAGCAGAGATGAACCAAGCTGGAGTTGGCAAAACAATGTATATTTTACAAAGGCACATGCCCATAAACTGTGAAAAGAGTGAAACTGAAAATTTTGTTGCAGTCTTTTTCACCTGCAGTAATTTTTTCACCTGGTGTTTCTAAAAAGGATGAAACTCTGCCAAGCTTTGCATGCATCTGGTGTGCAATCCCCAGCAAATCCATCAAAGCCTACTTAATATTCCTAGTTGTTGTTTAATATTAAAGCCTAGTTGATATTCAACTTGTCTGTGTACCGTTACAGTCAAGCACGCAGACTTTGTATACATACACAGGCAAAGTAGTATACATACAAGTTGTGCTTAGCTTATGTGTACAGCAATGCTTTTCCAGTACACCAGACTACCTATTCCGTGTACTTATGCAGTCGTTGATAGACCCAAAATCTTGGATGATGAAATTTGACACACACACTGTGCACAGACTGTAATGACACATGGCTGAGTGAAGTATGAAGTAGGCTTCAGTCCATTTAGTCTTTTCACCGTGTCTTTATGAGCCACTGTATAGCTGATTAGGTTAGAATTCTCTGCCTACGAGTAGATGGTTGTCTGTTCGTGTCCCATGTGCAGCATTAGACACTTCATCTTGTCATAGTGAAAAGTCAAATGTATTTTAGAGCATTGTATTAGAGTTGAAAGGTTTGGGGTGGGGGGGTGATACACTAAGACGTAATGGGCAAAAATCCTCTGTTTGTTGGTGGTTTGGCTCTTTGGGGTGGGACCCCAAACTGCACCATAGACCGCGTGATGCTGGTTATTAATGTACTGTGCAAAGGTCTTAGAATGATATTTAAACGATCTTCATGTTGGTGCAAAACATTGCTGTTATGTTAGTTAAGCTGATCCATTTTGACAATTTCAAAAGTCATCCCAGTATTTGCAGCAACCAATGCACAAATGTATTTTTTGACTGCACCATAGAGCACCTGATATGACTAATCAATACATGACTTTTTAAGCCCAGACTTTTAATACTATTGAAATGAATTAAGTGAACTTGTGATAAAATGTAATACATGGAATGATTGAGGTGGGTTTGGGAAGCTGTGTTCATCTGATTTTTTTTTTTGTTGGATGGCTAGTTTAATTAGTTTAAATAAGTTAAATTTCAATTTAATTTCAATTAGCTTTTGTGTTTCTCATAATATGCATAGAAATTGTGTTAAATTGTGATTTTTCTGGCAAATACCTGTACAACAAAGAGAGCTTTAAACATTTTCTTTGCCTAAGACTTTTGCACAGTTCTGTACACATGCTTTGGCATCTGCCGAATAAATAATGCAAAACATCATCCAGTTTTATACGTGTGGATTTCTTTGCCAAATGAGTTGTTTGTGAAAATGGTAAAAACAAGTGGACCTTTTTCTTTTAAGGTTTTATTTAAAACGAACTGAAAGCCATATTGCTGCAGTTACAGGCTCACAAAAAGCAGAAAAGTGAAATCAGTCTTGAAAGAGATGAACTTCCAATACACATTTGTATTTTTTCATTCAGCCTCAAAGGTGAGGCTCTATATATATTGTATATATACACACTCAAACTGTACGATCATGTGCAGACATAACCAAACAGTCGTGCAAAACGTTAGTCAAGAAGTCAAATCAGTCACCACATCTTTGATAGTCTCTTCCAAAAATGGGGAAGCTTGACTCACATAGGAAGCAGACAGAAGTGGGCTGTTGTCGGACCTTTGCTCCAGATATGCATCAGGTTTGACATTCAACCCAAATAAAGGAAAGAGGGCTCCATAGAGCAGGGGGTGGGAGGCGTGCATTTACAGTATGGGTGGGGAGAGTTACCTGTATCAGGGAAGGCTGGGACAATATTCTGTATGCACAAACTGTTATAGGAAACCGTTTGCGTTAAAGCATTATGATCTAATATGGACCAGCTATGATGATTTGCTCATAAAATGCAAGGTTCTGTGTAAAAATAATAAAAAATAAAAACACCAAAGCAGTTTGTTAAGAGCCTTCTCCTTTTGGCGTGAAGGAATTCGACATAAGAACTATACAAACGAGAGGAGGCCATTCGGCCCATCGAGCTCGCTTGGGGCATTTCAGGGAACACATCATCCACAAACTGACAGTTGCACACATTTTCTTTACCTGGTGGATACAAGTCTACAACATACAAATATCTGTATGACAGTCACTCCATCTGCATCAGCTGTGTCTTCAGCGTAAAATGGCTACGTGAACCTACAGTAGCCTGCAGCCATGCCTAAACAATACTCTTTGTAACCATTCGCAAGAGTTTTGAGTCTAATCAGCATTTCTGTCCTGTCAGAGGAGGACTGTAGGTAAACAATACAGTCAGATAAATAAAATAATGACAGATAAAGAAAACCATGCAGCAGTGCCCCCTGCTGGCAAAATGCTAGATCTGTATTTTTAATATTGCTAATGATCTTTTAAGGAGAGCAGGCAGAAACATGTAAGATGGGCTGTACATTAAAGAATTCAAACTGCTTAAAAAGTGAACATCTTTGCATACGGTGACCTGTATATACATTTTTGCACTATACTATGAATTCTTCCATAATATTATCCAATTCCAGACCACTCCTGCCTTGGAGCAAAGGCTGCAAAAAAAATAAATAACGTTAAACATTACCTAAATGCCAAGAACAGCCAAGGATGACACCGTGGTTCAAAGTGGTGCCAGTGCATAGCACTTCTGTGAGGTTAAATCAGGTGAAATGCATCTCGAGGTGGTGTTTGTGTAAAACGTTACATCCCATAATGACACAATAAGGAAATCCTTGCAGCTACACAATAGGGTCCGAACTCTAAATCCCATCCTTCAGTTAACTTTTTTGAGGATTCCTCTTACAGTGTCTCCCATACTTTTTTGATATTTAATATTTAGAAAGAAAATCTCACACGTATTCAGACACGCTTGTTAAATTTAAATATGCAGCAAATGCAGGTGAGACTGTGACAGGTGTGAAATGACCTTTGGCTCTTCTGAAAACACCATCTTCTCTCCACCACAGACCCCCGTTGTTGCCCAATCCCTTCTTTCCACTCTCTCTTCACTCCTCTCCCTCTTTTTTTTTTTTCTTATTCCACAGAAGTGAACAATAAAAAATGGCAACACACATTTGCGCCAGTGCATCTCTTCCGTGCAAAGTACTGACATCTTTCCCCCTTAGCCAGGGGTGGGGGGTCCTCAAGAGTGCCCAGTGTTTCATAAGAGTGAGTTCCAACACGGAAAAATGTCACCAATCCCAGCGGGAAGCACCTCAAAGATGCCTCCAGCCAGCCAAGTGAATAAAAGTTTAAAGAACTCAAAGATTTGTTTTTAATGAGGAAGAAATTATGGGGTGATTTGCTGGCTCTTTGCCCGTAACCCCATATAAAAATAAAAAACAAAAAGTAAAATAACCTGAGGATGGAACTGGTCAAGGCTTCCCATTCAACTGAGCCATGTCTGTGCTCCTGCGCTCCAGCCAGGAGGAGAGCAGTTTCCGGGACCTGGGCGGCCGTGGTGGGCCCTGGGCCAGCCGCACCATGCGAGGCGAGCGCCACACCTTGATGGTAGAGTCGTCGCTGGCGGACAGCAGCAGCTCCTGGTCGGCGGGGCTGAAGGCCACCGAGTTCACCACGTCCTCGTGCCGCAGCCTCGCTAAGCAGATGTTGTAATGGCGATCCCAGATATAACCGTGTTTGTCCTCCGCACCACTAGGGGGAGACAATGATTGCAAAAAAAAAAAACAAAAAACAACACACTGGCTTCTAATCACAAAAAATCTTTAGCTTCAAATATACATCAATTAAGTTACAGCACTGGATACACAGTTTAGCTGTCACATTTCCAAAGATACCTACACGACTTTTAAAATAAAATACCTACAGGATGGTCCACATAAAAGTAGCTCCACAAAGCTATTTATCATTTTACCCATACAGGCCAATTTACCCTATACCAAGGTTTCTCAACCCAGTCCTCGGGGACCACCAGCCGGTCCACGTTTTTGCTCTCTCCCAATTGGCAGGGAATTGGGAGAGAGCAAAAACATGGACCGACTGGTGGTCCCCGAGGACCGGGTTGAGAAACCCTGCCCTATACGATGAATAGAAAGGAACACTCTGGACGGCAGGCGTGAGATACCTGGCCACAAAATCCCGGCTGACATCGAGGAATATGAAGAAGCACTCGTCGTTGGGTGTGAAGGCGCGATGGGCCCTCAAGCTCCGCCTCTCCTCCCTCAGACTCTTCAGGTCAATCACATGTAGGTCGATTTCCTCGGCAATGGGCGGCGGCATCATGGGGTCTGAGATGACACAGCCCGCTGGCCACGCCCGGCTATTTACATACAGGTACCTGGCCAAAGAGATGGCGGACTTACTGGCAGACCCTCGCAGTATGATGGAAGGGTCAGTTTGCTAGCCATCTGCAGGCATCAATATAGAATTCTATCTATGGACCTGGTTTCGTTAACAAAAGCTTTTAGCTAAATGTTTTAGCGACAGTTACAAAAATTTTAATTCTGTGCAGCACTTGATTAATAAATCCTACACGTGCCTTATATTACATGGCTACATTGTACCATTACAATATTACATTGTACCATTACAATATTACATTGTACCATATACGACCCAGTAACAGTGACATTTAGTGATTACTGACTGAATTAACCAGATTTTTTCCCACTTTAAAATGACCCCCACCGCATTTTGAGGTTGTTGCTATACATGCTCAAAGATTGAGTTCACTGGGTCTGTATGATCTTTTTAGCCAATGGACATATTTTTCCTATAATGATAAGGTGGTCTGGGTTCCCCAGGGTTAAGTTCCTCAAGAGCAAAAGAACAAGGCGTCGACCATAAGAAATGAGCAACTTCTGGTCAGCTGTTCATATCTAAGCAAATACAATGTGGCCAACCTGTGATCAGGGGAGAGGCCCATGCCGATGATGTGACCATGAATGTCAATCACGTGGTCCAGAGAGTCGAAGAACTCCTCGGAGCTTCGTTCCTCACCCAGGACGGGCCCGCACGTGGTCATCTGATCTGGCATGATGCGCTTAATGCCTGTCAGACCAAGGTCATATTTACTGCCCTATGAAGAACTTGACGGGACTCTAACCACAGTTTGTCATCACCATGGCATCAATAAGATCACAATGGTATCAATAAGATTTTTTTATGTAGTTGGCATGTATCAGCAGGCTAACTGGGTTAGACTAGACCACGTAACTACTATGTGGTGCATGGATGCTCGAAAATGCTGCACATGTGCAGCCGTACGAGGTACAAATTGGGCAGGGTGTATGGATCAGGTAGTGACAGGTTGAGTTGGCCTCATTGTGGCTTTCTCAGCTTCCATATTGACTTACAAATACTCAACCCCGTCTTGCTTTTAAATAGCCATTTAGGCCGTGAGGAGGGTTGACAAGGACATGACGGGCCGTGGCGGGGTTGAGTATTCATAAGCCAAAATGGGAGTATGCCAAGATGGGGCTGAGTAGGCCATAATGGTAATGGGGTTGAATGTGTACAGTATAAGCCATAATGAGAGTATGCCAAGACGGGGTTGAGTATTTGTAAGTCAATATGGAAGCTGAGAAAGCCACAATGAGGGATTGAGTAGGGTCATTATGGGCCATAGCTGAGTTACAGCATGTAGAGGCATGGCGACAAAGACTCTTTGTTCATTACTCGATACAGTTGTCACCCACTCCATACCTATTTGGTGAGGAGAGTAGGTAAGACTGCCAGTGGTGAAGAGCAGGTAGGTCTTGTCGTCGTCTTCCTCCGGGGTAGAGGGGGACAGGAGGCTGGGGTCTGGTGGGCGGGTGTGAGTCTTCCCCATGAGCCGGGCCACTTCTGCCTCCAGCTGCCGCTCCCTCCGCTCAGTGCCACGCAGGCCCTGACCGGCGAGGTGGAATACACACTCACGACAGAAGTGCAGGACACCTCTCACTTTAATAATGTGGGGGGGGGGGGATCTAAATTAGGCTGCAGAGTTAAAAGAACAATCAAAGAACGGAAATAGAAACTATAATACGAAAATAAAGTGGAACCAAAAATGGATTATTGACATGAATCATTTATGAAGGAGAATTTCTAGCGAATATTATATCAAGCTCTGCAGAATTTCCTACTAATACTGGATGGACGAGCAGGGTGTCTGGCTGCTTGGCACTGCCTATGCCAGTCTATTTATGGTAGTATATAAGATCATCTGGAGCACAGGATCTGCCTAATCCCCCACCTGGAAGACCATGTGGCTGGGCTCCCGGAGCGGGGGCTGTTTGTGCCGGCCCGGCGGGCTGTCCTCGTCACTGTCCTCCTCGCTTTCGCTGCCCAGGTCGAAGAGCAGCGGCTGGTGGCCCTGGCGGTCGCCGTTCTCCCGCGCCTGCAACTGGGCCTCATAGTCCAGCAGCAGGTCTGGCGAGTCGTGACGACGACAGTGTGCCACCATGACTGTGCGAATGCTACTGGCATTGACGTTCTGAATCTTGAAGAGGCGCTTCACCACGTTTACGTTCTCAGACTCCACATCCTGGGGAGGTCGGGGGAGGGTCAGGACACTTAGGGGACACCCTGATGTTCCCGTCCAGGGGAGGGAGGAATTTGAACGCTGTCAGGCTGCAGGCAGGACAGAAACTTTAAGCCAAGATGTGTACAGACCTGGAAGGCCTTGTTGAGCCAGAGCACGGAGCAGGACGTCATGTTCCCGATCCAGTGCAGGTTCCCAGAGATGAGGTGGGTCTCGTTCAGCCAGCAGCCAAACACATCATACGGCTTGTTCCGGACGCGGGAGAGGAGTGTGTAATTATCTGAGTGATATGGGGGGCACATTATTTCAGCTGGTCACTAGCGCAAAATTATTATTATTATTATTATTATTCGGATGCCAGTTTACAGTAACTGTGTGTGTAGAAGCTCGTCTGTAGGATGTTAATCCTCTTCTGTGTTAAATCAACTGTTTAATCAGAAGCAGCACACAGGAGGGCCCCATGTGAAAAGGAAACACAAGGGAGACACGGAGATTGACATAAACAGGCCCGTACCAAGGCTGATGACAGCAATCTCCCCAGAGGACGTGTGATGTGGGCCTAGGTAGACCCCCGACACCAGCAGAAGACTGTCGTCGGCATTGAACTGGGAGAACTGGGTGTAGCCCCAGTTGTACTCCCGCATGCTGGAGCTGTGCACAAGGCGGATGGAACCATCCGGCTGCTCGGTATCCCAAATCTGAGCAGATATGACAGAGAGAAGAGGGAAGGTGGGAAAGGGGCGGAGCAAGTTGTGTAGAGAGGTGGGGCAGAGGAAATAGGGTATGAAGAAGACAATAGCCCTCGCATATTACTGAAAACCATCTTATTACATTTTAAATGTGATTTAACTCATTTGTAAATTTTAACCAAATGACACTGTGTTTATTTGACTTTCAAATTGACTTTAATTGCGAGCACTGATTAACATGCCAAGTGACGCAGCGTGTGGCGCACATGAGCAGCAAGCTCAGCACCACTGCCCCTTTCACGCTGGTAACACTGTGGCCAGCCAGGTTTCTGAGACAGCTGGAAATGGCTAAAGAGAGGTAGAAACTGGAGGTGGACTAGTTTAAGGAACACCGTGTGCTTCTGCACGACTGATACGCCCAGACGCCGTGTGACATGCCTTAACGGTGCAGTCCTTGGAGCAGGAGGAGAAGCGATGGCCGCGGTGGGAGAAAGCCAGATGCAGAACCTGGTCATGATGTTCCTTCAAGGTCTGTACCTCCACGCAGGGAATACAGTCAAAGAGCCGCTTGAACTCCCTGTACCAGGAAACAGCCGCTGCAAGAAGACATTGATAGTCAGGGCTTGTGCGGTGGCGGCAAAGACAGCAAGGGAGGCTGGGTGTAGGAACATAAGCTTTTCTGAGATGGCACCATGAGAGGCACAGCAGCCAGCTCATTTATGAACAGGTTCCTACCCATTCAGCAGAGCAGAACAAATATCCTCAATATTAGCTCTAACCCAAGAGCTCTCAAGCTGTTCTCTCAAGCTTTTGTTTTTACATATTCATCCTATTTCTTCCTCAGCAAACTCAGTCAGACTAATCACGCACTTGAAGCAGAGCCTTTCGGTTTTAGTAGAACAGATTAACAGATTGGCTGCAGGTGCTGAAGGGGAGGGTCTAGAAGCCACTGCCCTGACCAATCAAAGACCTTAAAGTTCATTTGCACTGTAAATGTTTTCCTTCGTTACTGTCCAGTTCCACTGTAGAACCACTCTATTTTCCACTTTTACTCAGACATATCAGTCTGTCAGTTTGGTCTACAGATTAATGACAGATCCACATATACACTCACCTAAAGGATTATTAGGAACACCATACTAATA